CCCCAAAACCCCAAAACCCCACTGATTAATATTTGACATCAATATTTGTTTGATTTTGATCAATTAAATTGAATGAAGCTAAAATAATCATTTTATGAGTCTCTCACTATCACCATCATTTCCATAATTCATAAAAGTCCATTCAAGACCACTGAGTGGCAAATCTCTATGAATAGGCAAAATCATTTCAGTAATGTTGGAAGTGCCAAATATCACAAATAGGTTTTCTCTCCAGCTGGGGAGTTCGTAAGTTGTTATTTCTTCAGACTAATCACGATTGGACATAAACTCAATCACTGATTGTCCCTTGCAAGCTAGATACCAATTCCAAATGCTAAATATCAGCATAATAATGCTCAACACGAAATTCTTCATCAATACGATCTGGTATAACAGATTCTCAGATTTTCTCTATATTTATTATACCATTAGAAAGATTTTATACTTACCTAAGGTGCTTCAGTGATAGTAAGAGGGAATATCATCAAACAACTAGCAAAGGCCATATATGTGTTGAATAATAAGAAGTATCTTTAATTTTAGATTCCAATACAATTATTAATCCAAGCTATAAGATTATCAAAATAAAAGAAATATACGGCAATGATGATCCATCAGCATAACATCTCTCATGCATAGTCTGCAGTGATGAGATCTAAGTGGCTTGACTGGTTGAGATGGACACTTCTGGCAGATATTTTTATGCCCTTAAATTCCATGAATTAAAGTTAAATAGCTCTTATTCCTATGACTTAATAACTTATTAAGAGTTGAGGAGAACTCTTCAGTTACTTCCTTGGGTAGAGCCTTGAATGTTGATGATGACCTTACTGTTACTCTCTCAGGATAACCAGGCTCGGTATTACATGACTTATAGTGGAAGTATAGCAAGCAATAAATGGCGTAGAATACAAGCAGAGAGTATGTCTAATTAACATTAATGACATATAATTACAAGGGTCAAGGCTATTGATTGGGTTTTAAGCATAGATGGTATGCTTAATTTAGCATAAACATAAATGTTGCAGAGTATGAGGACATACATGAAAAAAATAAAGATTCTTCCTAGCAATAAAAAGTTCTTAGAAGTCTCCTTTTCACTATATTGAATATGATTATTAGTAAGGACTGAATCAACTGACTAATCTTAAATAAAGTTCTTACCTGTGAGCCTATTCAAAGAAATTAATGATGGCTTAAATAATAGGATGATTTTGCTGTTAAGGCTATACTTTCTGATCACCTGATTTATTTTGCTAGTTGTTTAATGACATTTTTACTACTTTATAAAATTCTAGATTTATACAATCAAATTTCAATCTCTCTTTTGGGGTTTTGGGGTTTTGGGGTTTTGGGG